ATTGTTGACCTGTACCAATTCGTTCAAGGGTGCCTCCCGCTTTCTGTAAGAGGTTCAGTGTGGCTGGATTTATGTTGAGGTCTTTGATCCTTTTGGACTTAAGTTTTGTGCATGGTGATAGACATGGATCTATCTACAGTCTTACACATGCCAGCATCCAGTTATGCCAGCAGCATTTGTTGAAGTTGCTTTCTTTTTTCCATTGTATATTTTTAGCTACTCTGTCAAAGATCAGATGTTCATATATGTATGGGTTAATATCAGGGTGTTCAATTTGGTTCCATTGGTCTACCTGTCTATTCTTATGCCAATACCAAGCTGTTTTCAGGACTATAGCTCTACAATAGAGCTTGAAATCAGGGAGCGTGATGCCTCCAGACATTACTTTCTTGAACAGGGTTGTCTTGGCTCTATCCTGGGTCTTTTGTTTTTCCATATAAAGTTGATTATTGTTCTTTCAAGGTCTGTAAGGAATTGTGCTGGGATTTTAATGGGGATTGCATTGAATCTGTAGGTTGCTTTTGGAAGGATTGCCATTTTTACTACATTGATCCTACCTATCCAAGAGCATGGGAGATCCTTCCATTTTCTGGGGTCTTCTTTAATTTCTTTCATTAAAGACTCAAAGTTCTTGCGATACGGGTCTTTTCACTTGTTTGATTAGCGTTACCCCAAGGTATTTTATGTTGTTTGTGGCAATTGTAAAGGGTGATGTTTCTCCGATTTCTTTCTCAGCCCTTTTATCGTCTGTATATAATAGAGCTAATGATTTTCTTGAGTGGATCTTGTATCCTGCCACTCTGCTAAAAGTATTTATCAGCTGCAGGAGTTCCTTGGAAGAGTTTTTTGGGTCACTTATATAAACTATCATATCATCTACAAATAGTGAATGTTTGACCACTTCCTTTCCAATTTGTATTCCCTTGATCTCCTTTTGTTGTGGTATTGCTCTAGCTAGAACTTCAAGTACAATATTAAAGAGGTATGGAGAGAGTGGACAGCCTTGTCTTGTTCATGAATTCAGAGGAATCCCGTTGAGTTTCTATCAATTTACTTTGATGTTGGCTGTTGGTTTGCTGTATATAGCTTTTATTATATTTAGGTATGTTCCTGTTATCCCAGATCTTTCTAAGACCTTTATCATGAAGGGGTGTTGGATTTCGTTGAAGGCTTTTTTTAGCATCTAGTGAGATGATCATCTGATTTATCCTTCTCAGCTTGGTCATATGGGGAATTACATTGATGGATTTTCATACGCTAAACCATCCTTGCATCCCTGGAATGATGCCTATTTGATCATGGTGAATGAGTTTTCTTATGTATTCTTGGATGCGATTTGCCAGTATTTTATATCATTGTTCATCAGGGATATTGGTCTGAAATTCGCTTTCCTAGTTATGTCTTTGTGTAGCTTGGGAATCAAGGTTATTGAAGCCTGGTAAAAAGAGTTTGGCAAAGACCCTTCTGCCTCTATTGTGTGGAATACTTTGAGAAGTATTGATATAAGTTGTTATTTGAATTTCTGGTAGAATTCTGGACTGAGGCCATCTGGACCTGGGCTTTTTTTTTTTGGTTGGGAGAGTTTTGATGACTACTTCTATTTCCATAGGGCTTATAGGTCTATTTAAATTGCTTATCTGTTGTTGATTTAATTTTGGCAGGTGATATCTATCCAGAAAATTGTCAATCTCCTTTAAATTTTCAAATTTTGTGGAGTACAGGTTTTCAAAGTATGACCTGATGATTCTCTGGATTTCCTCAGAGTCTGTTGTTATGTGCCCCTTTTCATTTCTGATTTTGTTAATTTGCATGTTCACACTCTGCTGTTGGGTTAAGTTTGGATAAAGGTTTGTCTGTCTTGTTGATTTTATCAAAGAACCAAGTCTTTGTTACATTGATTTTTTTATATTGTTTTCCTAGTTTCTACTTTATTGATTCCAGCCCTCAGTATGATTACTTCCTGGTGTCTACTCCTGGGGGAGTTTGCTTCTTTGTGTTCTAGAGCTTTCATCTGTGCTGTTAATTCTCTAGTATAACTGTTCTCCTGTTTCTTCATGTGGGCACTTAGTGCTATGAACATCCCCCGTAGCACTGCTTTCAAAGTGTCCCATAGGTTTGTGTATGTTGTGTCTTCATTCTCATTGAGGCTGAATTTTGTTTCTTGTATGCAGCAGAAGGATGGGTTCTGTCTTCAAATTCATTCTGTTAGCCTGTGTCTTTTTATGGGCATGTTAAGACCATTAATACTGCGGGATATTAATGACCATTAATTGCTCATTCTTGTTTGTTTTGGAATGGTTGTTGGTGGTGGAATTATATGTGGATTTCTACCCCTTTTTTCTTTTGACCTTTGGTATGGTGGGATTATCTATTGCCTATGTTTTTCTTGTTGTAGTTAATTTGCTTGGATTGGAGTTTTCATTCCAGAACTTTCTGTATGGCTGGGTTAGTGAATATGTATTGTTTAAATCTGGTTTTGGCATGGAATATCTTGCTTTCTCCATGTATAATGATTGGAAGCTTTGGTGGGTATAGTAGTCTGGGCTGACATCCATGTGAAAGACCCTGGCCCAGTCTAACAGGCAGCTGAAAGCTGAGGCTTATGGAAAATTCCGTTCCTCCACAGCTGCATAGTCATTGCCTATCAAAAGGAAGCTCAGCCCAAGGACACAGGCTGCCTGGTGGCAAACACAGAGATATCTGCGGGCGGCCAGATGGCCAGCTCAGCAGGGTTGAGCAAACACAGAAACCGATTGTTCCTCGGACAGGGCCAAGACTAGAGTTCCAAGAAAAACCTCAATTGCCCCGAACCCTAGCCTCATTTAAATTGTCCAATCAGAGTCCTGTTACTAAGCTTCTCGCTTCTGTCCCGTGCTTTTTGCTATAAAAGAACCCCTGAGTCCCCAGCTCGGCGCGCTCAGTTCCCCGAGACTGAGACGCCCGGGTACCAGTGTGTTACCAATAAAAGCCTCTTGCTGTTGCATCCAAGTTCGTGGTCTCGCTGTTCCTTGGGTACGGGTCTCCCTTCCGTGAAAGCATCTCTTCGGGGGTCTTTCACATGGTCTCTTAATGTTGGTAGAATATCTATCCAGGACCTTCTGGCTTTCAGAGTTTCCATGGAGAAGTCAGGTGTAATTCGGATAGGTTTGCCTTTATATGTTACTTGACCTTTTTCCATAGCTGCTCTTAATATTCTTTCTTTATTCTATATGTTTGGGTTCTTGATTATTATGTGGCGAGGGGACTTTTTTTGTGGTTCACTCCATTTGGTGTTCTGTAAGCTTCTTGCACCTTCACTGGCATGTCTTCCTTTAAGTTGGGAAAGTTTTCTTGTATGATTTTGTTAATTATATTTTCTGCCCCTTTGAGGTGGTTTTCTTCACCTTCTTCTATACCTATTATTCTTAGGCTTGGTCTTTTCATGGTGTCCCATATTTCCTGGATATTTTGTGTTAGGGATTTGTGGGACTTAAGATTTTCTTTGGTCAATGAATCTAATTCTCCTAGTGTATCTTCAACACCTGAGATTCTCTCTTCCATCTTTTGTATTCTGTTTGTTATGCTTGCATCTGTAGTACCTGAACATTTGCCCAGCTTTTCTATTTACAGCATTCCTTTAGACTGTGTTTTCTTTATTGTCTCAATTTTAGTTTTCAACACTTGCACTGTTTGAATTGCTTCTTGCAATTTTTGCTTTGTCTTTTCCTCCATTTGTTGCAATTTTTTTATTTTTTGGTTTGTTTTTTCTTCCATTTCTTTAAGGGATTTTCCCTTATCCTCTTTAAGGGTCTCTATCATTGTCTTGAAGTTTTTTTTAAGGTCATTCTATTCTGCTTTATTTGCATTAGAATGTTGGAGTCTCCCTGGGGTAGAGTTTCTAGAATCTGGCAGTGTCATATTTGTTTTTCTGTTGCTAAGTGTGTTTATGTATTGTCTCCTTTCCAACCCTTCTCTAGTGGGTCCAGAAAGAACCTCTTCCTGGCCTGGTGGTTAAGAGATCAGAGATCCCTTCTGATGGGTGAAGCAAGTCCAATTCTGTGGTATTTTTCTTCCTCCTGGTCCTGGTCCTGGTCCAGTGGATGGAGAAGACAAGGCGACTGGGGTGCGTAGGCTCACTGGCAGTTCCCAAGCAGTCCCCAGGCACTGGAAGCCAGTTCTTTGTTTTATGTCCATTGATTAGTGTATTTCTCAACCTTCAGTCAGAGAAGTTTCTTTTTGTAGTAGACGGTGATGAATACTGAGAACCACAACTGGTCAATGTGCAGTGATTAAGAGACGGTAGAAAAAAAAGGAAAAGAAAAAAAAGGAAAAAAAAAAAAAAGAGACGGTAGAATACTCAGCCACTCCACAAGGCTTCAAATTCATTATGGAAGCAGGACAGAAAGATAAGAGATATCTGCCAGACATGATAGCACCATTTCACATATGAACTCACAGCCGTTATGACTGTTTACACAAAAACTGTACAAGATCAAGCAAGCCACAATCTCAGTATGGACGGAGATCATGAAGTTGCACACCGAGGAGCTACTGGCAACTGATATCTGGTGGTGAATGGGAAGATTTTTCTAAATGTGTGGCCCTTGAGAAGCTGTCCATCCTCCAGCACATGATCCTACACCCATGTAGACAGACTTTGTGAGTTTTGGGTTTTTTTTATTTTTGTTTTTAATGCACATTAAATTTGGGGAATAAACTGGTGAGGGGGATAGGCGAAGAGCTGGATGGGAATGAACAGTGAGTAGATTTCATCAAAGCACATTATATTCATATATGAAATTCTCTAATTAAATTGAGCACACAAATTCTAGTAAATATATTTTAAAATATTCAATTAGGATGTCAATTGTTGACAGTATAAAACATGAGCTTAAATTTATCATCACATATCATAAATTCTTATTGAATAATCTAAGGCATAGTACTCCATTTTAAATTCATCCTAAATACAATTTCCACAAAATGAAACATCTACTTGTGAAAGCCTAGTAGGAACAAACCTTGTCAAAGGGAATGCCATACTTCTTCAGCACAGAGGGGGAAATCAGTGTCATCTTGTGGCGGAGAAATGCATCACAGCCTTGGGAGCTGCTAGGGAAAAAGCCTGAAGAGCAACAGTAAATAGTGTCAGTTAAAATAACATTTCATATAGTTTTTAAAATATACTTGAGTTCTAATATTCTTAAAACTCTTACTAAAAATCAGCTCAACTCATAATCGTTTAAAAAATGATTCTTATTACAAAAAGGCTAATCTCTTCAAAATATTTACCAAGTATTACATCTATATATAAAATTCACTAAATTTTAAGAATTTCAATTGGATATATATTTCAACACCAGTTGCCTAATATACAGTAGAAGACTTACTGTTAAGCAATAACTGAGAATAAGAATGCCAGACAGGATAGCAAATCCCTTGTTGATGATTCTGAAGAACTAGTCATTGGAGACAGTTTTGAAAGCACTGTTCCCAAAAGCCCACACAATAAATACCAAATAGACACCCACCTTTCTTTGTTTCCTTCCAATCAATTTCACACTAACCACTAATAGCCTACAGTATTCTATAACTATGTTTGACAATAATTAAATAAAAATTTCAAAATCATAGATAGGATTGCGATATCTCTAACATGAAGAAATGATGTATCTCTTTAATGACAGATTTCCCCTTTCTGAGAATGGTATAAGTATTTGGAGATATCATACTATACAATATAGACATTCATAATTACTATATCAATTAGAAATAAAATATATTATTTAGGGGTTGCGGGAAGGGTAGGAGAGGACCTAGGTTTAGTTCTCAACACCCACATGGTAGCTTACAACCATCTGCAACTCAGGTTCCAGGAGATCTGATCCCCTCTTCTGACCTCTACAGTACTAAGACTATGCATGACACACATACACATGCATATATGCAAGCCAACACTCATACACATAAATAAAAGTTAGTTTTTAAAAATTCCTTCTTAGTCAACATAAACAAAATGCTTCTAAGTCTGCCTTATCCGTCTATGTGGGAAACAAAGCTGGGGAGGTCTTAAGAGAGGAATCTAAAGATTTAAGAAATCTTTTACTCCCCAGTCTATTACACTTAGGCCATGCCTGATTTTCTCCATCATTACCTTTAATTTTGCTAAAGCATACTTCATTACATCAAACTTCTTGTTTGATTTCCTGTTCAGTCCTTTCTCCCTCATAGGATGAATAATCTCACCAAAGACAGCAGAAAACAAGTACCATTGAGGAAAAAGACAAAGAAAACACCAGGAATGACGCATATACACAGAGAGGTAGCAAAAGTACCATGTGGCCACACCGTCTAAAATGCGCCAGCATACTACTTATAGAGCTAGCCCTATAGCTCTACACACAAACAAACTCAGAGTGGCTACTGTGATGAAAAACTCATTAGTATTCATTCAATTAACTGCAAAAAACTTATAATGTTTTAATATTGTGTTAGATTGAATTCACAGTCATCCTCAGCCACAAATGGCCACACAAGCAGAAGGTAGTGATTAATCCTGAACCATCTTATCCTTGTACGATAATTTTCCAGAATTGTTTTAAGTGACTTAAATGTTTTTTAATGCTTTGGTGGGGAGTAAAGCCATAGCTCATATAGAGGGAGGGAAGGAGAGGGGAAGGAGGGAGGGAAGAGGGACAGATGGCCAAAAAGATGAGCAGATAGGGTGGGTTAAAGATGCGTTGTGAAGCAAACAGCCAGGATAGAGACAAGGGAATTTAAGTAACAACTTGGTAGAGAAAAGTACATTTGGGGGCTAGATAGTTGGCTCAGCAGTTAAAAGCCTATGCTGTTCTTTTAAAATACCTAAAAGTCCAGGTCTTAGCATCATTCTTAGAGGCCCAAAACCATCTGTAACTCTAGCTCCAGGGTATCTGATGGCCTCTTCTGTTTCTAGGGGCACCTTCAGTGACTACATACTGCACACCTATAAAGACATATTTATGTATGTACGACTGAGTTTTTTTAAAATAAATCTTTAGTTTTCTTTTTTCCTACAGTACACTCTGGGTAAGCACCTGTATCTGCTTAAAATCAGGAAAGGGCCTTTGCTGGGCTTGTGGCTCAGTAGTAGAACACTTACTTACCTAGTATGTGTTAGGTCCTGGGTTCAATTACCAGCACCACAATAAGTTAGTTTATTAATTAAAATTGAAAAACAATCACAAGATTATGGGGAGGAGGTGAGAGATAGGGAGCTGAGAATGACATGTGAAGCAAGCTTGCTTCTAATTTAAATAAGAAGAATTGTGGAAAACAATAGAGGAGGGAGGGAGGGAAAGAAGAGTTCACAAACTCAAGTCTGTAAGGAGACATTGGGAACTACAATTATTCTCCACGAGGCAAACACAAATGAAGATTGACTTTGACCTATGGGGTCATTTCAAAGTAGTCTATGCATGGTTAATAATCAGAAAATATAAACACACACAAAATGTAGCGAATGCGGAGAGAATGCTGTACTAATGTGATAATTAAGTCTACAAGGTAAGATACTCTAACTAAATCTTACCTAGGGCCAGGATAAGGCACCCAACTCGAGTGGTCTCCAAATTCAAACCCCATGCAAAAATTTAATACTACAATTCAAATAAGGCTTTCCAAATCTGTAATTTTAAATTAAAATCACTGAAGAAAAAGATTCTGTTAATTTGCTTCTGAAGTAGATTTGTAATCAGGATACAAACAATAAGGAAACATGTTAAAATTTAACTTCAACTGGAAAAACCACTGAAGGAAGATAATGTGCAGTATGTTACAAACTTCACTTCATTGAAAAATTCTATTTACAGGATGGATGTTATCAGAAATGCATTTAACCACATCTTCGAAGTCATCTTAGAGCCAGCACAAATTGAGCACTAGACATGTGACTGAAAATGAATTTTACCTCAAAGTCCGTACAGGGCTACAGAGCTCATACATACACTCACTTCACAGGTTACAAAAACATTTGATACATAACCACAATAGTATTCAAAACAAAAACAATATCTGAAAAAGTGAAGTCTACCTTTCATAAACAATAAGGCCTGTCAAAGTCAATAAAAAGCAAAAAATTAAGATCTCACAAAAGATAACAGGAAAGTAAAACTCCACTTAAGAACGTCAGTCACCAAATGGAGACATATTAAAGTAGTCAAAAATTCTGCAAATAAGTTTACTGAATATGTCTTCCTAAGTCCATTTTACATTCTTTACTTTCCTTATGTACTTAACAGTAATCCATTTGTAAGAAATGTTCTCTGAAAGTTCCCATAATTTAATGCTACTATTGGAACATTCTATAACATTTACTTACTTATCAAATCAAACACTAATGGGACTATTAATTGTTCCATAAGCCTCAGAGGAAGAAGTTCCAATAAGGTCTGTAGTAATGTGGTGGCCACAGAACACCTCACATAGTCTGTGGGCACCAACAAATATTTCATAGGCAGAAAAACATGCTAGGTCCTGCCACATCTTCCTGAAACCTGGGTTTTTATAGGCCTACATCATTTGGATGTTTTCATTTAGAAGCTTTATTAGAGTTGAAGTGGAAAAACTCTCTCCTATTTAGTACATATGTGAAGAAACGTTACTTGAGAGGCAGCCTACTTGAGGTGAAAAGCCACCCTGCAAAATTCTGTATAAATAATAGTAAACATCCTTGCAACAGCACTGAAAAAAAATCTGCTTGAGCACCAATGTCCCTTTTTCCTCTACTCTTGAAATGCACACATATGAGAGGGGGTGGGGTGGACATTAAGTGGTTAAGAGCACTTGCTGCTCTTGAAATGCACGCATATGAGAGGGGGTGGGGTGGACATTAAGTGGTTAAGAGCACTTGCTGCTCTTGCAGAGGATCTAGGTCCAGCACTGACATGGTAGCTCACAGCAATTCACTAATTCCAATTCAGGGAGATCGGACTCTCTTTTCAGACCTCCACAGACACCAGATACGCAGATAATATAAATAAATAAATCCAAAAATTTTTTAAACAGATAAAGAGAGCACAGATTCTAATCACAACATAATCTTGTACCTTTGATTAGTCATATAATCTGAGTGCTTCAACTTTCCAATCTGTATAATCAAAATGCTATCATTACTTTCTCTACTTACCCAGTTTTCTTGGTTTGCATTTTTGAGACAAGATCCTGCTATGCAGTCTGGTGAACTTGACCTTGTGATCCTTCTGCCCTAATCACCCAGGGTAGCTGGGATTACAAGCATGTTCCATGACAGCTAGCCTACCTACTCAATTATTACAAGAATTCAGTGACATGATCCCTAAATAGCTAAGCCTTATAAAAAGGCAGAAAAAACAAAGCCCAGTACCAGGCATGATATATATTGCTTTGAACTGTTGTCAGAAGAGTTCCCAGAGACCCCCAAACTAATGCTATTGCCATTGCTCTGGGTTGCCCAAAGATCCTGATAGAAAGACCCTGTTCTAAAAAAAAAAAAAACTACACAAACTGGTCACAGGAATTAGAGAAATCAATTTGGAAACATCTTCACTATTAACTAGCTTTCATATTATTATAGTACGCAGGCTGCTGAAGGAGAAAAATCATCGATAATCTTATACAGTTATGGAAGCTTCAATAACTACTGGCCTAAAAAAGTTTGTTAGTGGGTATAATAACAACACAAATGGGGTAACCAATAGCTTAACTGGATTTAAAACCTGTTCCATAGGAGGAACCTAACTTCTAGTACTATTAATCTGGCAAGAACTCATGCCTAGAGAGATCACAAGCTCCACAGGTGAAAGTATTACTATTATTTGTTAAATGGACATTGTATCAATCTACTTTCCCTCTAAATATGCATCTGTATATGTATACATTAATATAGCTTTTAGTCTTCATCAAGGTGTCTTTCTTCACGCAGTGAGTAAGTATCTGTGGGGTACTTAGCCATAAGTGGGACGACTATATCATACCCAAACCACTCAAGACTTAGGAGCATAGTTGTAAGCTCCTCATGGGCAGGCCCCTCCCCCAAGGACCTCTAACAGCCAGGTTCCACCCAGAGTACTAAAACTGCTGAACCCTGCCCCAACCCTACAGAGTAAAAAGCCTGGTCTCCAGACATGAAATCCCATCAATCTCCACCCCAGGAAGCTCCGTCTTAGAAAGTTTCACCCCCTTCCTAAGAAGCTCTATGTTAGCCCTGTACTCTGTTCAGTTTGCTGCTGTTTCTCCCTCAAGCACAGGCAGCCACCCTTCAGGTTTTTACCCTCCCAATAAATCTCTTGTGTGAGGTTTGTTGTGCAGCCTGACTCTATGGTATTCCTTGGCTCCCAGTTGCGATAATACCTTTCCATCCGAGCTAGAGCCCACAGCATGAAGCCAGGCCAGGCGTTGGTGGCACAGGCCTTTAATCCCAGCACTCGGGAGGCAGAGGCTAGCCTGATCTACAGAGCTAGTTCCAGGACAGCCTCCAAAACAATACAGAGAAACCCTGTCTCGAAAAACCAAAAAAAAAAAAAAAAAAAAAACCACAGCAGCTGTGTTTGCCTATAACAGACCTGCAAAAGCAAGTCAACATCCCAGCATGAAGTGGGGAGGGGCCCAAAAGCCCCATCCATTGCTGAGGAGCTACTGATAGTTAATGACAGGGGAGAGAGTCAGTGTTCTTTACTGTTGCTCCTGGTAAGTTAGACATGCTCAGGTAGATGGCCTCATACCCATGCAAATATGGATAGCACTAATTGGATTTAGTGGGTTATTTAAAAAGAGAAGAGAAAAATAGGGATTAGATAGGAGGCATTTGACTAGGAAATGGCTGTGGGGATGAATAAGATCAAAATATACTGTATACATTTGTGAAATTCTCAAAATATAAATTTAAAATATTATTTTAAAGCCCAAATACTCATTAATCGATAGAAAAATAAAATGTTATATGCCAATACAATGGAACATCAATCAACCATAAAACAAGAGGCGAAATCCTGAAACAAGTTATAATGTGAAAGGAAATTGTAAAAAAGTAATCCAGGCATAAGGAAAAAGGTAAACACCAACTCAGACACAAACCACTCAATCTACAGTGGTGACCTGCCTAAGAGATACACTGGTACAATAGAGACTCAAAGCTTGTGGGAGTAATCAACCAGTATCTGAATGGGTTTAAGGCTCACTCTGTGAGATAGAACACATACATACGAGATACTGCTCAGGTGCACAAGAACCTGAGGCTAGACAGGCCAAAGACCTAAAGAAAAACCAAATACAAATGTTCTACCAAAGAAATGTAGCAATAAAATGACTTCTGAAGACATTATGCTATACTCAGACGAGTGCCTGGCTTAGTCATTGAGAAGCTTCCTCTTGTAAGAGGGAGCAAATACAGACACACACAGTCAAGACATTACACAGAGAATGACAGACCTTGAACACTTAGCCCTAAATGTGATGTCTCAACAAAATCCCTCCCCTAAGAGCTCAAGGAACCCTGGGTAAAATGAGGCAGAAAGATTCTAAGAGCCAGCAGAAATGGAGGACACTAAAGAAACCAAGTCTTCTAAACATAGCAAGATCGACACACTTAAGAATGAACAGAGGGGGGGGGGGGGAGAAAAAAAAAGAACAGAAACTATGGCTGACTGTGGGGTCCCAGAGCTGAGAGAAGTGAACACAAACCCAGAAACTATCTTCAATTGATAACCACGCCAAGGGCATCTCACAGGCTACAAAAAACACTCTTAGGATAGACCCTTACAGTGCTGGCTTTCAGAACCAAATAAGCAAAGGGAATGGAGTTGCACAGCTCTGGGGCTGCAAAGGTATCCTGACTTGTCTGGAAGTCAGGTTATCTAGGACAGCTCTGCAGGCTGGAGCAGCAACAGGACAGCTCAGGCCTGGAGAGAAAGGTGTCCGGACTTTTCAGGAAGACAGGCTACCTGAAGCTGGGCTGCAAATATATAAGATGGAAAACAACTGAGGAAGACACCAGCCTGTTGTGCACACAAACATAAATGTTCCCATACATAAGACAACCAGCATACAAACATGTGTGGACACACACATTCTCTCTCTCTCTCACACACACACACACACACACACACACACAAAATGAAAAAGCAAATGAAAGGCAAATTCAACTCCTGCTTTGTTAAATACAGGCCTGATAGCTTTCAGGTAAAATATTCTTGGGTGCCACAATCAACCCAGATTTCAACAGAAATCAAAAATGAAGTTCTCTCATACATAAAAAGTGACTACAATGATTATTGTGTACAGACAAGATAATGGAAAATATCTCTACTTGCTCTTCATTTGTGTATCAGATGCTGTCTTAATTTAGATCATCTATAACACTCCACAATATGTACTGTATTGTTTTAACATTGTAATTACCTGACTGATATCTGATCATTGACACAAATCCTTCACTGCATTATAACGTTTACATACTGTAAAATAGTTTTAGTTTCACGTTCTTTTTCATTCATCAAGTTTGTTGACCTTACTGATTAAAAGATTGCTCCTCTATGTCCCTGGAATATCATCTATCATAATTTACATGACAAACTTTACAGTAGATAAACTTCAGGCTCCACACTATAAAGCTGACATTAGCTTCTTTTTAAGTTCTTTGGTGATGAGGTTAATACAAATGTTGAAATAGCTTTTTTTTTTTTGTTTATTTTTTTGTTTTTACGAGACAGGGTTTCTCTGTGTTGTTTCAGAGGCTATCGGTCCAGCCCGGCCTCGAACTCACAGAGATCCGCCTGCCTCTGCCTCCTGAGTGCTGGGATTAAAGGCATGTGCCACCACCGCCCGGCTGAACTAGCTATTACAGAGAATAGAATAGCTCAACACTTTGTTTTAGCACAACATTCTTTGCCTATATATTCTAAATTTATGATAATCTTTTTATAAACTCTGTTCTAATCTGTTATTCCTAACAGTATTCAACTACTTCAGTATTCATGAAAATAGTCCCTAAGTTCATGCTTACAATTAAACTGCTATTATTACTGTAATAAAATACATTAAAAAAAACAAACACATCCTGTGTCCTGCCAAAAGTTTAATATTGTTTCGTACAAAGGTGATCCTGTACTATTCCTTCTAATAGCTTCCTATAATTTGTATTAGGAAGATAAATTGTAGATGCCATTAATAACATCTGCTCAACCTGTCAAGCCAATGAGTTCCATGTCCTCAATTCATTTTTAGGTGAAAGTAGGTAACATGAATGTAAAATGTCCTTTGTCATATTAATATATATGGACAGGCCTAACATATATATAGTGCCTGAGTAGAAATGCTACACTCACTCAAGAGTGAGTCCTGGATAAGGGATGAAAGCTGATTACCAATTATCAAATTCATCTCTACTTGCTGTTACAAATAGTTCCTGACTAACTGACATTTTTTGAGGAAGGATGGATAGCAAATAAGATAAAGTTCAACATTATTTAAGAAAGAAAAGAAATGTAGGAATAGTCAAAATTGATGGAAACTAACTATCCAATGAAATATTAAGCAGTCAGCTAAAGTCATTATAAAAACTATGTAACAGAAGAAACATTACAGATTAATATGAAAATAAATAATATTGTGTGGTTAGGGCAACATTTAAAAGCGAAGAGCTTGAAAAGAACATACATTAATAAACAGAGTAAATAAACTGCTGAATTACTTCAAAACACAGAGTAAGAAACTGAAAGCAAGTTTTACCTTGGGCTAATCTTTCAAGTCGCTTTCCATGCTCCGGAGGTATAGCATACCTAAAATGTTAAAAATACATAAGAAAATGTATGTTTATAATATTTTAGATAGTATCTGAAGGATATTTCTTCTAAATACCTTCACTTACAAAAACTTAACACTAAACTGTACTTAGATGAACTGAGAAGGAAACAAGAAATCATAAAAGCCTGGACATTTCATACAAAATGGAATAAAATAAATATAAATTACCAACGTAAATGTCCAAATATGTACTGTGGAATAATCTTCCTGTACACTGCAAATATTTGCCACTTAAACTGGATTAATAAAATGCTGATAAGACAATAGCCAGGCAGAAGTATAGGCAGGCCACCAAACTAAGGATGATGGGAAGGAGCCATACAGACAGAGGGAGCAGGAGATGAACAAGGAACATGCCATGCTTATAAAGGCACTTCCACGTGGCAGAGCGTAAAAAAGAAATATGGGTTAATTTTTGGTCCTGCCTCGATGAGATGATGGGACAGATGATAACGGACTTCCTAGGGGAGGCCTTACCTAATCCAAGGAACAGACAGGGGAATTGGGGGAGCGAGAGGAAAGAAGGGAGGTGGAATAGGGATTGGAATGTAAAAATTATTAAAAATTTGAAAAAGAAAGGAAGGAAGAAGTATGGGTTAACTTAAAAAGTAAGAGATAATTAGTAACAAGCCTGAGCTATTGGCTGAGCATTTACAATTAACATAAGCCTCTTTGAGGTAATTTGAGAACTGGCAGGCAGGACAAAAATGTGATTACAAGCTGGGCATAGGTGGTGCACTCCTTTAATACCAGCATTTGGGAGGCAAAGGCAGGTGTATCTCTGTGAGTTCGAGGCCAGCCTGGTCTACAGAGAGAATTCAGGACAACCTCCAAAACAATACAAAGAAACCCTGTATTAAAAAAAAAAATCAACTGTAACTTAAAGTTCAGGAAACAAAGGTTCAAGACTAATAAACCCTAAACTAAACCTAGAGACCCTCCACTAATCATAGCTTTGCTATATACTATACTTATTTCTGGTCAGCTATATACTATAGTTATTTCTAGTCATAGGTATTTTTGTTTGGAAACTGGTGAGTTTTGGTATTGTTTCAAAGAAAGTATTGGTTGTGATTTCATATTATATTTATTGTGTGTGCATGTATATGTATACATGTGTGCATGCACATGTGTACTATCTGTGCATGTGAAGTCAAAGGACAACTTTCAGGAATTGGTTCTCTTTCTCTCCTTCTATTAAGTTAGTTTCAAGGGATCAAACTCTGGTTTTCAGACTTGGTGGAAAGCAATTTTACCCAGTGAGCAATTTCCCAGACTTGGTGTGGTCTTTTAATGTGGGATTTATTTATTTCATAATATAACTTTAAAAATCCTGACTATAATCTTTTCACCCTAAAGAACAGAAATATTCATCTAAAGTTCCTAGTACAGTGGTTCTCAGCCTTCCCATTGCTCCAACCCTTTAATACAGCTCCTCATGTTGTGGTGACACCCAAGTATAAAATCATTTTTGTTGCTATATCATAACTGTAATTTTACTAATTTTACTACTGTTATGAATCATAATATAAATATGTTTGGAGACATTAGTTTGTCAAAGGGCGCTTGACCAATGGGTTGAGAACCACTGTCCAAGTGTTTTGAAACATGAAGTAATCTAAAATTATTTGCTGAACTTTGAACTGAAAACCTCATAATATGCTTTTCAAAACTAAATTTTAAAGGCATCTCAATGAAAATATCCAACCAATGTTTCTTCCCTTAAAATACTGCTGTTCAAATTTTGCCAACAGAATGAATGAAATTAAATTTTAGCATACAGAAATGAAAATAATCAATGTTTAGGATCATTTCTTCCTAAATTTCCCTCATGGGTTTATAATTTCCCTCGTGGGTTTATAATTTCCCTCGTGGGTTTATATCAGGAAAACAGTCTTGGGGAAAAAAATATGGGTGTGGCCCATCATAAAACATGCAAATGTACTCACTCACACACACACACACACACACATGCACATCATGTCTGTCCAAAGTGAGCAGGTTGTAAAAACATATTTATATACTCATATCCCTCTAAACAAATGGTAAGACTATAAATTCTCACAATTTCAAATTTTAACCATCATTTCACATAAAAGGCAAGTGTATCCATTTATTGAAAAAAGAAGAAAATGGAAAGTTAGTATTGTTCTATACCAAATCTGATCCTTAATTTACTTGATACATGAATAACTCTCATTAGATATTATTCTGCTACCTTAACCTAGGTAAACATATTAGCCAGTCTTTTAAGCATCTGTGTACACTATTATGAAGAACTATCTGTTTAAATGGGTTTTTTTTTTATTTAGGACAATATCTTAGTCTATTTTTGAAATCTCAAAAACACACAATTCATGTTAAAATTGTAAATGAATTCATATTGCTATGATTAGGTCTCAGTGATGGTGGCAAACACCTTTAATCCCAGCATTTAGGAGGCAGAGGCAAGAATTTGGGTTTTGGTACTTTGACATTGCTTAATGGGCCACACTAGTAGGAGTATGGAAGACAATGGTGATAAGAATAATTTGAACTGTAGGGATCCAGAGGTTTCAGGGAAGAATGCTGGTATGGAACCTAGAGATTGTGTGATTTTTGGTGAAGAATATGGCTATCTTTTGCCCTTGTCGAAAGAGTCTGCCTGAGGCTAAAGTGAAGAATTTTAGATAATTCCCTTGGTAGAGGTTATCTTAAAACAGCCTCATATAGACTTTGTCATGCGGTTATTATTGTCAACTCTGAAGATTTATAATGAAAAGGAGCAAAGTGAGCAAATAGAAATACAAAATGTACAGATTAAGAAAAGGGGTACCAGGAAGTAGTATAGAGATAAATTCTGTATTCAGGAAGATAAACAGAATAAGAAATGGAATAAAGAAAATATTGATCTCAGGGCAAGATCCCATGCGGCTATACTTCCAATTTGTTAAAAACTTAGAGCCCAGTACGGTGGTATGCGCCCTTAATCCCAGAGGCAAAAGCTAGTTGATTTCTGAGTCTGTCTGAGACCAAGCTCAAGGACAGCCAAGCTTAGGCAGTGAAGGCAACAATCAAAAACAGAAAGCTGGTCAAGATGTATTTGAACAAGGGGGCCATGTCCCAGCCACAGCAAGTAGCAGAACATGGCAGCTTTGGTCACATGATTCTGGATTTAGAGTTAAGTATAGAAGAAACAGGCTATGAAATTTGCTTCAAAGAATAAGCAAAGTGACTAAGGCCAGGCATGTGTCAGGGGTGTCCCTGAAAGGAGGCCTAGAGAGGCCATCATGAAGCTATGAAGTTGAAGCCTGGATTGCCTTAGAGAACACAAGATGTTAGAGACACCAGAGTTGGGGGATACCTGCCGAAGACAGAGCTGCTAAAAAGAGAGTGGAACCAGTCCAGGAGAAGGGTGTGTTGTGGTCAACAAATGGAGCTGGAGGTCTGAAGAGTGCTTTGACATCGGAAATGAAGATGCAGACTTTGGAATTTTCCCAGATGATTTTTGGTCCTGCTTTATTCCAGTATTCCTCACTATGTTCCCTTTCCTACACTGGGGGATGGTAATATAAATTCTGTGTCATTATATATTTTTAAGTATGTGATCTTTTAAACAGGGGGATTACAATAAAGAGATTCTATGAATCTCAGAAAAGGCTTTGAACTTTAGATTTTAAAACATTGTTGAGACTGTGATAGACAATGGTGACTTTTGAAGTTGGACTAAATTCACTTTAGGAGATTGTTACAAGTATATGGGGAGCAAGGAGTGGAATGTTATAGTTTGAATGCAACGAGCCCCCATAATCTAATAGAGAGTGGAACTCTTAGGAGGTATTGTCTTATGAAGTAGGTGTGACCTTGTTGGAGGAAGTATGTCACTTCAGAGGTGAGCTTTGAGGTCTCCTATGCTCAAGATACCACTCACTGTCTCAGTTCACTTCCTGTTGCCTTTGTGATGAAGATGTACCCAGCACCATGTCTGCCTGCATGCCACCATGCTCCCCGCCATGATGATCATGGACTGAACCACTGAAACTGTAAGCAAGCCACCCCAAGTAAATGTTTTCCTTATGAGTTGCTGTAGCTATGGTGTCTCTTCACAGCAATAGAAACCCTAACTAACACATCATTAAAGTGTACCAATTTCCTTCCAACCACTGCCAATAAAGAAAAAATGAAATCTTCCCCAAGCAAAGTTAAATCTTTGTATAGATAGTAACTCTGTGGTAACATTCAGCAAAGTACAAGTCAGAAGTGTATTCTGGAAGACATTTTCACTGTCCTGCCATAAGGACTATTGCCAACAAATATGTTTACATGAAAATAATGAGTCTCCCTAGTGAAGGGGGAGCACTGATTAAATATTATAGGTACAATTTCTTTTCCCATTCTGTAGGCTGTCATTTTTGTCTTATTTACCATGTCCTTTGCCTTACAGAAGGTTTTCAGTTTCAGGGGGTTGCATTTATTGATTGCTGCCCTCCATGTCTCTGCTGCTGGTGTTGTATTTAGGAAGTGCCAATGCACTCAAGGCTACCTCCCACTTTCTCTTCTATCAGGTTTACTGCAACTGGATTTATGCTGAGGTCTTTAATCCACTTGGATTAAGGTGTGTGTGTGTGTGTGTGTGCAGAAACTGGACATCAAAATACCAAATAATATAATTAAAAAATGGGATGCAAGCTAAACAGAGAATTCTCAACAGAAGAATCTCAAATGGCAAAAGACATTTAAGGAAATACTCAACATCCTTAGTCTTCGGGGAAATGCAAATCAAAATGATTCTGCGACACTAACTTATACCTTTCAGAAAGGATTAGATAAAAAACACTGATGACAGCCTACATTGGAGAGAATGTGGAGTACAGTGAACACCCCTACACTGCTGGTGGGAGTGCAAACTTGTATAGCCACTTTGGAAATCAGTATAGGAGTTTCTCAGAAAACTGGGGTTCAGTCTACCTCAAGACCCACTAATACCACTCTTAGGCACAGACTCAAAGGATGCTCAATCATATACACTTGTTCAACTATGTTCATAGAAGCATTCATAGAAGAAACCAGTTATTTATTCTCAAACACCTGTAACCCCAGTTCCAAGGCAGGGGCAGAGACAGCACTAATTATTGGGGTTTGCTGGGACTTGCTGGTTTCTAGCCTAGCCAGGAAGCAAATCTGGGTTCAAGAAGAGACCATGCCTCAGAAGAACAGGTTGAGAGTGATGGAAGGAAATACCTGATGCCCTTTTCTGACCTCTGCACACACAGGGATCAGTGTCTGTGTATACATATGCACATGCATACACACTTACAAAGACACACACATACACAAATAAATAAATAATGTGAATTGTTTTAAAAATGATCCATATGGCTGAAGATTATATGTCATGCTTCTAATTCCAACATATGAAAAGGCAGAAGCAAAAATGATCACTGGAAGTCTATTGCTTATGTAATTTATACAGTGAGTTCAGGCCAGCCAGGGCTATATAGCAAAACCACATATCAAACCAGTTTGGCAGCTCACACTTGTAATCTCAGCACTCAGCCAGCTAAAAGAGGAGGATTACTATGAGTTCAAGACCACCCTGTGGTAAGAAATGAAACCCCATCTTAATAAATATATACACAATATATCAAGTTAAGTATGTTGCCATTCTTACCAATAATATTTCCTAGGGCATGCTAACAGAAACCTGATTTACTCTCCCTGTCCTGGAACGGATGGACGGACGGACGGACAGACAAACAGACAGACGCACACACAGCAAATGAGACTCGTCACTCAGAGGAAACTGAACCAACAGATCAAGATTCTTAAATCTCTACATCCAAGAAGTCAAATTTCTAATGCATCTCACACGTAATCTCTAACAAATACTCAAAGAAGTAAGATGTTCCACAAATTATTTGAGATGAAGATATATTAATCCACAGCATACAAAATGTCCACAGGAAATCACTGGGCTTAAAGATTCTACTCAACAACCTGAGAAGACAAGAATGATTATATTACTATAATCCAAAACTTCCTTACACTCTATCAAAGAATTAATTCTTCAATAATGTACAACTGTACAACACTCAATGATTCACAACTCTAAAGAATGTGAATATTAAACAAGTGACTTGCCAAGACTTGGGCTCCCCAAAGTGGAGATAATTAATACTGTAGAGATCCATGTCCTCGGTGTGCCAGGCAAATGTTGTTTTCCACATTCCGAAATAGAGATAAGGGGTATTTACACCCTCAATAGAAATACCACACTCTTCTTCAACCACATCCAAGACTGTATTTAGGCGAGCTATATTCCATTCATCGACACCCTAGTTAATAAGAACAGGGAGAAAGAGAGCAAAATCAATGTTAGTAAATGAAAATTAGCATTTATTAATCAAATAGCCATTTGTCAGTTACTACACTATTGCTTTATTACTTAAAAATGGAAAATATAACACTTATTCAGAAATGGAGGTATACAATCATTAAAACTATTCCAAATTACTATCAACATATTATGTTTCTATATTATTGTCAAAGTTAAAATTACATCCAATAACTATGATTCTCAATGAAAAATAAAGGTAAGGACTCACTTCCCACTTGGTGCTACCTAAGGAAAGAATAATAATCACCTTCAATTTAAAACAGATAACCTGAGGCATGTATTTATTTTGGGAGCTGAAGTTTTTATGGTTTCTAATTTGCACATTAGCTGTGAGGGCCTATTCACCATGAAACATAATCTTAAGAAACCAATAGCAAAAGATATCTCCCCCAGTCATGTCCATTTCACTGTAGTTTGTGATCCACCATGTCCTGCAAATATCATACTACTGAAAAAATTCACACTTTTCCAAAGCATAGAACCTGTACTCAGAATAGTCCAATAAATAATAACAGCATTTACTGTTATTTAAATACATAATTTCAGCTGTAAATAACTCATCTAAATTCTGATAAAACTGCTGGAATAGTTTTGTTTTAACCCCAGGCAGGTGGTGGTATGGGGGGAAAAAATGGTTATAATTACTGGTATAAAAGTAAAAGGGGCTTTGTTGTATTATTGTTTGCTTGTTTTGTTAAAAATTCTAGAATGGTAGTAAATACCTATAGTTTTGCCAGGAGGATAAAGATTTCAGCTCAGCTTCATAGCCAGTTTAAGGCCAGCCTAGGCTACATTAAGACCTTGTCTCCAAAAAATAAAAAAAAACAAAAAACAAAAAAAATACTAAAAATAGGAAAACATTCTGATTTTAAGAGAATTTACCAATCAAGAACTAATTTACTATTATTCACAGTTGTTTAGAATGTTTTAGCAAACTTTACTGTCTTCCCCATATACTTTCCTCATAGTTAAATTCTAATATCCAAACTGGGCACATCCATACAGATTCATAGGGCATCTATAAAGCTGTTAAATCCATTTCAACCTCCACATCGTGCTTTAACAGGGGAGCATTAAATCTTCTATGTGAACTGAAAGAGCTCTCTCTAATAGGCTTTACAGTGGCCGCACAAATGACCACTTCTATCATTTCCCCTTTACCTGAAAAACTTTGGGATTGTTCTGTTTTTATTGTAATCTTTAAATAATTATTTAATTAATAAACTAATTCTATTTCCTAACACTTTGGGGTAAGGAAAAATATTGACGAGGCAGTAAAAAAAGAAGAAACCAATCATTTTAGTTCATGAAATAACTGTCCCATCTACTACTGAAGCCCAGTGCTAGGAACATTGTTGTTTGAAAACTGGTCAAATTCTTTTTTAAAAATGCAAGATTTAGCCAGGCAATGGTGGCACATGCCTTTAATCCCAGCACTCCAGAGGCAGAGGCACATGGATCTCTGTGAGTTCGAGACCATCCTAGTCTACAAAAGCTAGTTCCAGGACAGCCTCAAAAGCCAGAGAGAAACCCTGTCTCGAAATCCCCCCTCACCCTCACCAAAAAATGCAAGATTTAAACTTAAGGAACCTCATAAAAGTACAATAAAGTTATGTAGATTATTTTCTCATTTACAGTGATTCCATCTCTTAAGTCCATACACTATTTGAAAATCTTTACAGAATTAATATGAATTTATAAATAAGCATCATAATATACAAACCATTTTTAAACTGAAAGATCATGCAAATAAACAAGCCACTTCACTGAAATTCCTATGTAAAAAAACACCTAAAGATCTCCATTCTGCTGCAGTGCACCCAGAGGAACATTACTTGTCAGTCCAAATCTATCTCCTAATAACTCAGCCTCTTCTGCATGCCCAAGATCTCCCCCTTCCCCATTTCTTTCTTTTTGACAGCCCCATGCAGCCTTTCCTTTTAGCACATCTTCATTTCTTTTTGACTTCAACAACTCACTGAACCTCTACCAGGGACCCACAGCTGCCAGACAAGGCTGACACTCATGTAGGAGAATTAGATCTCCATCATGTTCTTTATTCTGGTCTCTCCAAACATATTCTTAGTCCTGCTGCAGCCTGCTACCCTGAGCCCGACCCCCAGACCACCTACATTCCCCTGTAGAGCAGGCTGGTGTCCAACTCACAGAGATTAAAGGTGTGTGCCACCACCACCCGGTTTGTCACTATGATTCTTGTTTATTTGGTTTGGTCTTGTAATTTTAGACACAGGCTATCTCTATGTAGCCCTAGCAGTCCTAGAACTCTCTATATAGAAAAGGCTAGCACAGAAATCAAAGACATCTGCCTACCTCTTAAAGGCAATGTGGCACTAGCTTTATTTTTTACATCTACATGTGCAAAGGCCATGTAGTTCTTTAAAAAAAAAAAAAAACAATCTAAATCACAGATTTTTCCCTCCTTTTGAGAGAACTAGAGGAATTCACCTCTTCTTAAGGAATTAGAGCATAAGTTAAAACAGCTAAATACTGTTATTATTTAACAGCCCAATTCCTGTTGAATAATAACCATTATTATTTAAACTGCAAACACTCCAGTTTTCCTTCCTTCCTTCCTTCCTTCCTTCCTTCCTTCCTTCCTTCCTTCCTTCCTTCCTTCCTTCCTTCCTTCCTTCCTTCCAAGATCAGGTCTCACATAGCCCAGCCTGACCACAAACTTACTATATAGCTTAAAAACCCCTGATCTCTTCCTGTGTTTACCTCCTAAGTGCTAGGATTGCAGGTGTACTCCAATATACTGAGCTCTAAGTACCCCCTTTTATGTTTCTTTTTCCTTTTAATGTGTTAAGATGTTGTGGGTCAGGGCAATTTAACTACATTTGACTGCTGTTGAACTTGTCCTAGGTACCCTTGCTGCCAGCCCAAAGATCTCATGGAGTACTCACACTTTGTACACTCCACTGAAGCAACTATATCTGTGTCCTGGAAACCACAATTTCTTATTACTAAAGCATAACTCTGGCTTATAAAAAGACTGTCCAAACCAAAACTGTTTCAAGCTGTCTGTAAAAGATTTCTGAGACAATAAACCTTGATGATTCTAGATGATCCCTCCCCCTCAGTCTTTTCCACCAAGACCAGAGAGGTAGCACATTCTGCACCTGTGATTGGTATAGACAGTCCTGCATTTCCAGGAGACTCATGCAGTATGATGGAAGGCCTCTCTGAGAAGTCCGAGGGCTCAGCTAGGACAGCACAATGGGAAGCAGAGAGCAAAAGTACAGAAAAGGTAAGCAGACAGACAGTAAAGGTTGAAGAAAGAAAACTATAGCCTGGGCAGTAGTGGCACACGCCTTTAATCCCAGCACTCAGGTGGCAAAGGCAGGCAGATCCCTGTGAGTTCAAGGCCAGCCTGGTCTCCTGGTCTACAGAGTGAGTTCTAGGACTGCCAGTGCTACACAAAGAAACCCTGTCTTAAAAAAAAAAAAAAGTGTGCCACCACCACCTGGCTCAAAGTTACGTTAGTGTGCCCACTGTATTTATAAAATGTCCCTCTAAAGAGTAATCAGGCAGAGCATGGTACGCCACATGTTTTTATAATCCATGTACTCAGAAGCAAAGAAAGCACCACAAAAGTCAAGTCCAACCTGGTATGTAGAGTTCATTGACAACTTGAACTACACAGGAAGTCCTTATGCTAAAAATAAGCAATAATCAGAATGTAAATATGATCAAAGTGCATTAAAAATATATGAAAACATAAAAAATAGAAAATATTTACTTAAACCTCCCTGAAAAACATGTACTTTTAGGTCTTTAAAAAAAACTTAATAAACAGTACATGCTAACTCACTGTGTCAACTAAAGAACTATTTTGAAAAATAAATATATAATATGGAATGTGCTCACACCTAGAGAGGTAGACTTCAAATACACACCTATCAACGTCTTTAGTTAAGACCATAGTGATAGATAGCAAGAGCCTAAAGCCAGGGATTCAAACTACAGACCACACGGTCTCCTTCAAGACCAACGGAAGAGAACACAAGAGCAAGGGGAGGAAAGATGGCTGTCAGCAAAGTGCTGACCATGAAGTACACAGAACTGAGTTTCACACTCAACACCTACATAAAAAGTCCAACATGGCTGTCTTAGTTACGGTATCTATGGCTGTGAAGAGACACCATAATCACCGCAACTCTTATAAAGGAAAACATTTTATGGGGTGACATAGTTTCAGAAATTTAGGCCATTATCATCACGTGGGACATAGTGGCATGCTGGCAGACATGGTGCTGGAGAAGGAACTGAGAGTCCTACATCTTGATCCATAGGCAACAGGAAGTAAACTGTGACAATGGATGTAGCTTAAGCAAAAGAGAGTTGAAAGCCCACTCCCACAGTGATACACTTCCTCCAAAAAGGTCACACCTACTCCAACAAGGCCACACCTCCTAAGAGTGCCACTCCCTTTGGGGCCATTGTCTTTCAAACAACTACAATGGCACACCTATAATCCCAACACTGGGAGAGTGAAGACAAGTGGATCGCTAAAGCCGGATGACCAGCCAGCTGAATTGAATAAGCAAGACTATGGGTTCAATGAAAAGACCTATCTTAGTAATCTGGTCAAAACCAAAGGATACAAATGAGACACTCACACAGATGCCAAACATCTTGCAGGACACTGCCAAAGGCTGCATAGGGGTGGTGAGAGCATTTACAATGGGACGTCCAGAAAGAGTTCAGAGATGTGACCGTATCTAAAGCTCCACCTATGAAGAATGAACACTCAAACCACCCACATATCAGAACAGCATCAGTAATCTGAACAGCCAAAGTTAGAGCCAACAGGAAGAAGAGCACAACCCATCACAAAAGACCTCCCAGCACCAAAGAAAAGGACAAGTACACTAAGGCCAAAAACCAGTCAGGCTAGCCAGTTGCTAAGCATGGCCTCCAGGCTCTCTAGCCCTCTGGATTTACCCCACATCTATCCCAAGCCACCTCAGCCTTGTCCTGTTCTTGCTCTATATTAATCCTTTCCCCTGTCTCTCTCTCTCTCTCTCTCTCTCTCTCTCTCTCTCTCTCTCTCTCACTCTCTCACTCTCTCTCACTCTCTCTCTCTCCTTCTCTCTCTCTCTCGTTTTGTTTTACACTCTTTTTTTCTCTCCTTGTTATTTCATTTTGCTTTTTATTCTCCCAACACACTGGTTGGCAGGGCAGCTGTCCCACAGCCCCTGGGACGGTCCCGCACTATCAGATAGCATATCTTTATTTCTCTCCAGTCTGTTGTTATTCAAACACCTCTCATCCTGTGACATGTTACAATCTCTTCTATTAATTTTCTCCTCCTCCCTTTTGTTCCTATCATCCCAAAACTAATCGTTAGTTCTACTAGTACTTTTTTCTTTGACTTGTTTTTATTTCTATCATACTCACAATAATAAATATATTAGTACACACAGAACTACCAATGTCCCTTTAGTCCACGAAGTGATTAGTGCTTAAGGGATGACTTTGTATACTTGAATATGACTCCATTTCACAGTGAATCTACTCAGGAATAATGAGAAGGGCTAGGAATAGACTACTATGGCCTGAATTCAAGTTGAACAGAAGAAAACAATATCAAAAAGTTACTACAACCTAATTGCCATGTTACAAATATTGTAAGGTGTGGGACAGGGTAGAGGGGTGAGGACTTAAACTAATTCCTGGTATGCAAGTCCCAATACAAAACACAACACAAAACAGGGATACAGTATGACTCCTCTAAAATCTGTCCTGTGATAAAAGAGCAGACAAAGTTCTAAACAAACAAGTCAAAAAATGATAAGTATGTTTATATAAATGAAGAATCATATGAATAAACTCTTAACTAATACAAAGGAACAAGCACCAGACAAGACAAGGAAGTCAATACAGGATATGAGAATGGAATTCAATAAAGACAACACCAAATGAAATGATGGTGCAAATAAAAAATTCATTAAAGTCAAAGAAAACTTTTTAAGAGTTTAAGAGTTGGTACACTGAAAGAAAATAATACATTTTCAAAACCCATGAACAGAACAGGGAACCTTTTTGAGACATCTTGAAAAGCAAATCAACTGGCTCTAGCATGTATCAAGTCCTACGTCCAGTCCTCAGAAATTTGAAGTGGAAGAAAGGAAAAGGGACAAAAGTGAATGAATCACAGGCATGAAACTAAGAACTTATTCCAAAGAAAAGGAAAATCTTTTGAAGGTAATGAAAGAAAACTATTTTCCCAAACCTAGGAAAACATGGACTTATCCACATGTAAAAGGCATTTTAAAAAGGCATTGGAAAAAGAAAAAAAATGTTCTCTGGGATCTCCTAGACTAGGAACGGCAGCAAGCTAGACTCACAATATTTTCTAAAAAGTAAAAGAAATCACATACTGGAGCAATAGTACAGCCAATAAACACACTTGCCACCAAGCCAGTGGACCAGAATTTGACCCCCAGAACCAAAATGGCAGAAGAGAACTAACTCCCACTAGTTGTCCTCTGTCACAGTTGTAGCATGGGAATTGGAAGTAGAGGCAAATGAATTAGACATACAAGGCCACCCTCAGCTAAATGGCAAGTTTTAAACTAGCCTGAACTATACAAGACTCTAGCTCCTAATACAGAAAAGAGGGGTGGGGGCAATCTAGAAAATGACTCAGCGGTTAATAGTGAATGCTGATTTTGCAGAAGACCTGAATTTGGCTCCCAATACCCATATCACAGAGTTCACAATCACTTGTTACTTCAAGTCCAAGAGGGCCAATGCCTCTAGCCTCCACAAGCATCTGCAGAAATATGTGTATCTTCACCCACAGACACACATTCACATACTTTAAGGTAATAAAAATAAAATTTAAAATAAACAGAAAAAGAGAGCAGTAGGGAAGGAAAAGAGGCAGAGAGAATATAAAAGAAGCCTACTGGTGTTTTCTCTCATACTTGAAAAAATACAGATTCCCAAAACCTAATAAATAAAATATAATGAATAAAATAAGTACAATTCAGTACTTTCTGGCTATCTAAAAATAATAAAAGTATCACCAATCTTTTAAAAACCACAACACAGGGCTGGAAAGATGGCCCAGAAGTTAAGAGCACTAGCTGCTCTTCTAGAGGACCTGGGTTCAATTCCCAGCACCCCCATGGCAGCTAGGAATTTTCTGGAACTCTAAGATCCAACACCTCACACAGACATACATGCAGACAAACACCAATGCAATAAAATAAAACCACAACATAAATATAAATATACCTCATCATATATGCTCCCATTAATATCTGCTCCATAAATAGGTGCCACAAAAGTTAAGTTTTTCCAGTATTTGCGTTCCAAGTCTTCATAATCCAAGTATCTTGGAGTACAGTATCTATAAAAATTAAAAAGTAAAAACCACAGACCAGTAAGGCAATTTTAAGGATTTTCCACCCATCTAATCTAATTTACTTTCTAAATAAAAATACTGTACACTCTCAGTGTCAAATTTATTAAGTTATACATAAAAGCATTTATACTTAAAAAAAACTCTACAGAACTGTTTATTCTTTACCAGTAAGACAAGCACTTTCATAAAAATAATAAAGGCAGTAAATTATAAGTCATTATTTTATCTTTCAGAGTATTTCTAAAATAATTATACAAGAACATTGTACAAAATTATATATAAAAAGAAATAGAACATATGGAATAACTGAGAAAAAAACCTGCATAAAACTCCAAGACAATAAAACTAAAATAAGATACTCTGCAGTTATTGAATTGGTACTGCCTAATACAATAATGATATGGGGGGGGGGGAAATGAAGACACTTATGTTGGAGTGGAAGACTAAACTAGCACATTATAATTTCTCAACACATAGCAAGTCAAAAGCATATGTAAAATTGGGGGTTGGAGAAATGACTCAACAGTTAAGAGCACTCACTGCTCTTTCAGAGGCCCTGGTTCAATTCCCATAATTCACATGGCAGCTCACAACTGTCTCTAATTCCAATTCCAGGGAATCCGACACTCTCACACAGCATATAGAACACCAGTGTTATAAAAAAAAAAACAGTATGCATGCATGCATACATACACACACACATAAAATTGTTCTGAAATTTAGAAATTCATTTTACTAGCACTGAAATGCAGAGTAAGGAGATATATTGTAGTATAACTAGAAACACAGAATGAGTTACTTTCCTAAAGCTGTGATAAAATACTCTGACAAAATAAACTAAAAGAAGAAAGGTATCACTTTATCAATGAAGCTTGAGATATCTGATCCACATGCATTTTCACTCAGGAATCAAAGAAAAACTAATGCTCAGCTCAGCTCAGCTCAGCTCTCCTTTTCTGGATCCCAGCCCATGCAATGCACTATCCAGTTAAGGTAGGTCGTTCCATCTCTATTAGTCTAACACAAATAAACCCTCACAGGCATGCCCAGAGGCCTGTCTTAAGTGATCTTAGATCCTGTCATTTTTGCAATGAATATTAACTACCATGATTGACTAGCCAGCAATTAATGATTACAACATAAAATAAGGGCTGGAGAAATGGCTCAGTGGTTAAGAACACTAGCTCACCTTCCAGAGGTCCTCAGTTCAAATCCCAAAAACCAAATGATGGCTCACAACCATCTGTAATGAGATCTGGTGCCCTCTTCTGGCGTGCAGGGATACATGCAGACGGAATACTATATATGTAATACATAAATATATATTTTTTTAAAAAGAACATAAAATAAGGTAGATCGTCTTTCTATTTAATAACATTAAAATATTTCTACACTGAATATATCAGTATAGAAACTATTGTGTATGTTGAAATCCCATTGATTTTTTATTAAAAATTAAAAACAGAGGTCTAGAGTTAGGAATGTACACCTAACTTGCATGGAAAATTATCTACTAGACAGGATGCCCTGGAGTTAACCAAATCCCCAGAATTGCCTAAACACGGTATGGTAGCACATGCTTACGATCTTAGCACTTGGAAGATGAAATGAAAATCATAAAAAAAAAAAGGTACCTCAGCTACACAAAGAATTCAAGGCCAACCTGGGCTTGACAGAGATCTTGGGGATACAAAAAAAGGAAAAGGAAAAAAAAGAGAGAAAATATATATATCAAGCTACTAAAATTAACAATTATCTTCTTGAGCATAATAATGGTACATGCCTATAATTTCAGCACTAAAGAGGCAGAGGAATTAGGATCAAGAGTTCAAGGCCAGTTTGGTTCCAAAGAAAATTCCAGGTCTGCCTGAACTGAAAAAATTCCATCTGTAGGGTGAAAGGGCTGAGAAAGAGTTCCGTGGTTAAGAGCACTATTGCAGATGATCAAAGTTTGACTCCCAGTACTCAGAAGTGGCCAGTTGCAACTGCCTGTAACAATAGCTCGAGGGAATCCTACAATTCTGGCATCCTGGTTACAGGCATTCATGTGCACACAGACACACACACAATTAAAATTAAAACAATAAATCTTGATTGTGAATAGATGTGTCTGCCATTAAAAGCACTAGTTGTTTTTCCAAAGGACTGGAGTCTGATTCCCAGCTCTCATATGGCAGCTCACAAAGGACTGTAACTTATCTTTCTGGGTGGTGGTGGTGCACGCCTTTATTTATTTCCAGAGCTTGGGAGACAGAGCAGGCAATCCTCTGAATTTGAGGTCAGACCTGGTCTACTGAGCAAGTTCCAGGACAGCCAGGGTTACACAGAGAAACCCCTATTTCAAAAAAAAAAAAAAGTTTCTCATAGAATAATTACTTTTGTTAGTTTTAGATTTTAAGCAATAATATTGTCACAAAAGATACTGTGTAACTCAACTTGACAGGATATAGAATCACTGAAAAGATAAATCTCTAGGCACGTCTCTAAGAAATTACCTACAATACCTGAGGTGGGGAAGACCTACCCTAAATGTGGAAAGTTTCATTCCGACTTGGGTCCTGGACAGAGCAAAAGGGAGAAAGTGCTTGCACCAGCCTTCACCTACAGGGCCCTCTGCACTCTCAAGATAGATGATCATTGCTTACTGCTCTTGCTGCTTAACAATCCCAGGGATGGCAGACTGCATTCTCTGGAACTTTAAACCAAATGAACTCTTCCTTCATTGAACTCCTGTCAGGGCATTTTGTCACAGCAATAAGACAAGTAACTAATAAAGATACCTGTTTTTTTGTTTTTGCTTTTTTTTTTTTTTTTTTTTTTTGGTTTTACGAGACAGGGTTTCTCTGTATTGTTTTGCAGGCTGTCGGTCCAGCCCAGCCTCGAACTCACAGAGATCCGGCTGCTTCTGCCTCCCGAGTGCTGGGATTAAAGGCGTGCGCCACCACCACCCGGCCTGTTTTTTTTTTTTTTTTTAATGAAGGAATAAGCAAGGAAATGAATTCAGAAAACAGCAAAACTAAAAGGAAAGAAAGAAGGTCTAGCAAAGGCAGAAATCCTATAGTGTATGTTTTTAATTACTTAAAGAACAATGAATATCTATATTCACAACACTGGCAGCAAACTGGTTATCTATCTACACAGGCTAAGAAATTTATTTTTTTATTTATTGCTCTTTCGAGACAGGGCTTCACTGTGCAGCTTTGTAGACTAGGCTGGCCTCAAACGAAGAGATGCACCTGCCTCTGCGTCCCGAGTGCTGAGATTAAAGGCGTACGCCACCACCGCCTAGCTAAGAAATTTATTTTCATTACTTTATCTGAAACCTGGGACAAATTTCTGACTTTCCATGAAAGCAATCTTACTCTGTAGTCAAAGTAAAGTCAGAATAAAAGGACCATGAGCTTTACATCATTTGACAAATTCTATTAGTGGGTTCCAGGTGTATCAGGGATTTCAGGGACAAACTAAACAGACTAAACAAGCCAGCCAGAAATGAATGCTGGGGCTGACAACATGACTCACCAACCAAAAGTACTTTCTGCTCTTCCAGGGAACCCAGGTTTTATTTCCAGCACCCATGTCAGCTCTTAACTGTCTGTAACTGCAGTTACAGTGAAGCAGAAGCCTCTTCTGGCCTCTGCAGACATGAAGTACACACATAAAGTTAAAAAAAAAATCATGCTGGGCACTGGTGGCACATCTCAGCACTCGGGAAGCAGAGGCAGGTAGATAGATTTCTGTGAGTTCAAGGCCAGCCTAGTCTACAAAAACTAGTTCCAGGATAGCTAGGGCTACACAGAGAAACCCTGTCTCAAAAAAATGAAAAAATAATTTTTAAAAAATTGTAGCTCTCCGCACTCTACTTGACGAGGAACCACTCAGAGTCTGGCAACACCTCAGCCTTGGACCTCACCCTCAGTCCTCTGCCCTCTGCTTGAGGTAAGTGTGGGTTCTCCTGTCATCCCAGAATAGGAGCTTGCTGGATCTGCTGGACTTGTACTGAACCTGCCCCTGCAGGACAGACCACCCAGGGTCTGGCCACACCACAGACTTGGCCCTCCACCCTCTGACTTCCACTTGAATGTTGCCCCCCAAGCCACCGGGAGACTAGAGGAGAGGGAGAGACCCCACCTATGCCCACTCGAAGAAAGGATGGTAAGATGACAGTATAAGAACACACTCAACAACAGAAAGACCAATATGACACATGTAGAGACTCACAGCAGCAAGACTTGAAAATCCCAACACAGATGAATCAAAAGAGAAGGACCTTAAAAATTATATTACGGACGGGCATTGGTGGCACACGCCTTTAATCCCAGCACTTGGGAGGCAGATCTCTGTGAGTTGGCGGCCAGCCTGGTCTACAGAGCGAGTTCTAGGACAGCCTTCAAACCAATACAGAGAAACCCTGCCTCAAAAAAACAACAAAAAAATTATATTATGAAAATGAAAGAGACCATTAAAAAAGAAAGGAGAAAAGCTCTTAAAGAAATACAAAAAAAAATTACTAGAAATGGAGGAAAAGACAAACCAGAAAATTCAAGAAATAAACAAATCTCTTAAAGAATGTAAAGAAAGCCAAGAACAAACAACCAAACAAGTGAAGGAACAATTCAAACAGTTCAAGGCTTGAACACTGAAATAGGAAAACACACAATGAAGGGATCTGGAAACAGAAAAGCTAAATAAACGATCAGGAATTGTATGTGAGTGTAATCAATAGAACACAAGAGATGGACCAGAGAATCTCAGGTGCTGAAGATTCACTAGAGGAAATATAGTCATCAACCAATGAAAACCTCCAAAAAAATCCCTAACACAAAATATCCAGGAAATATAGTACAACAAGAAAATGCCAAACCTAAGAATAATAGGTATAGAAGAAGGTGAATACAGCTCAAGGGTACAGAAAACATATTCAACAAAATCATACAAGAAAACTTTCCCAACCTATAGAAAGACATGCCAATGAAAATACAAGA